CTCCCGTAGTACATTTAGAGACCGTAGGTACCACGAGCAGACCTGATAACTGAAGGCTCTACCTCCCGTAGTACATTTAGAGACCGTAGGTACCACGAGCAGGCCTGATAACTGAAGGCTCTACCTCCCATAGTACATTTAGAGACCGTAGGAACCACGTGCAGGCCTGATAACTGAAGGCTCTACCTCCCGTAGTACATTTAGAGACCGTACTTAGACCTGCATTCTGGGAGCGTAATGTTCCTGAAGGGTAATACAGTATTATCCTTAAGATAAGATTTTTCCTGATCAGAGCTTTGTAAGAGAGGAAAGGATTTTAAATTATATTCTAGATTTTATTGGGAGCCAGTGCAAAGAAGCCAATAAAAGAGAAATGTGATCCCTTTTCCTAGTTCTTGTCACTACAGCTGCAGCATTTTGTACTATTTGAAGAGTCTTCAGAGACTTACCAAGGTAGCTGTCTAGTGTGCAGCCAGCCTTATTTTATGAAGCCATAAACTCCCACTACATATCTCTTGTTGAGGCCAAACAGAGCAGGTACAAACCAGTGAGAGATTAGCACCTCCCCTCTGGCTGGTGAAAAACACAATAAAAACACTTCACATTGCTGCCTTTTCCTAAACCTAAGTTGGTGTTGTGATACTATTTCTAATAAAAACAGTATTATAGCTCTCTCGCTTTAAAGAAGGTAATAGAAAAGTTAAGTTGAACTTCCTGAGATTCAAACAGAGTGCAGCAACAGAAAAAAGCCTCTTTGTATTCACACCTCGATGTGAAGCCTAACCACAACGGCACTCGAGTTTCCATGCATGACTTGGTCTTCAGCTGTGACTGTGAATGTGTGTTCATCTGTTTGTTTATCTGTGTGGACAAAAAGTTGACCACAGGCAGAACACCTAAAAGTTTTAATGCACAGTGAACTAACCACTAGCATGCAAGAAATATCTCCTAAACTGTTTCTGCTTCATGCTTTCTGTCTCTCACTTAAAGTCAGTAACTTTATATGCACAGTTACGTCCAGCTACAGTTACAGCTCAAAAAGGCAATTTTTTTTCAACCTTTATTTACACTCGAGACATCATTGAGGGCGGACTAGACTTTAGGGGTGGAGCATGCTTGAGCAAAGTACAGATTGCCTAGTGTGAGTGCGCCCTCAAACCTGACTGATATGGGCTCATGATTTTGGTTCTGGAAAGAAAATCTTAAACTAGTCATTTATTAAGAATTCTATATTGTTTGGCCTGTAATTATTGAGATTACCCTTGTCACCTCCCTTATGTAGGAGCAGGTGAGGGGTTTGTGGAGCATGCTCAAAACGCCTAGTCTAGTTTGGGTCTGACTGAGGTAGGACGTAGGTCAAGCAGCAGTAAATCAACTGCTGCTTGCCGGTTTCAGTCCTCATGGTTTCCTGTACACAAAAAAACAGGGAATGTGGCAGAACCCTAAACTTGCAATAAAATCACTCTGCCAACTAGCCTTTAAGAGGAGTATTGCAGCACTAAGGAGCAAGCATGTTTCAACATTTAAAGGTAGAATATGCAATATTTTACACATAAATATAGCAGAAATCCAGTATATCCTCTGAAAATAACTCTGAGTCATGACTGTCATGAGAGTCCCGTGGTATCTACACACTGTTTACATGGACGAGCTCATCCCCTTGCGTATAAAAGTTGTTTAGTTGAGGGACTAGAGAAAAGAAGAATAACATACTTTACTCACTGCTTATTTGAGTGTCATGTAAGTGTTTTTAGATCACAGTCATTTGGTGTAAATTCACATGCAATGTGAAGCTACCAGCAAACTAAAGAGCGCTGCAACGGGAGACGTGGAGCAGCAGTAAAAAACGGCGCACTAAAAAGCAGACATATATTGTTAATTGACATGCGACATTTAAAAGGTTACCAATCCTGCCTTATGCTGTGATAGCCTATTTGGGTTGTACATAAAAGTAAGTTGTATTTAACTTCATCAAAAAAATTCAATATTTGTGTGTTTCTGAGCACAAACAATTACATTTGCACATGCTGTCTGACAGACGGCTGAGGTGCTTGGAGGGGGGTCTAGAATGTTGGTGGTCCTAGTGTTAATGGATCAAGCAAATGTGTAAAACTTAAATTCTTGTATTTACTTAAAATGCTGCAGTGATGATGTCCTATTTGTGTTTTTGTGCAGAATCTTCAAGGCTCGATTGTAAAGGTGCTCTACAGATTTCTGACAGGTTGTTCTGGGACCAGGCAGCTAAACCAGAAGACAATATGGCACCTATTATCTCAAAGAAAGATCTGTGGTTTCTGATTGAACATCCCTGAAGTCAACCAGTGGTGTGTAAAAGCATCAACATTTGCATTTTGACAAATACCCCGATGGTTCTTTAGAATCAGAAGAGACCATTTTTGGACCTGGATGGGATACACAGTCATTTTAACGCACACATGCCCCCTTCTCTGTGTGTGGTTTAACATCCCTTTTGGAGAGTTCTGTGAGTGTGTTGAGTCGTCCGTGTGCGTCTGTTTGCAAACCGTGCGTTGCATTCTATATCGTATAGGCTCCACCCTCTAAGGCTATTGCTATTGGATTTATCACTTGCGAACCTGCGCAGCACTAAAAGAGTTGTATGTTGCGGTCCACCCCCATCCACAAGGTGGGCCCCTCCCATGGCAACCTTTTTCTGGAGTGAGAGTCACCACCATGGTGGCGGGGCAGCGTCCTGCTCCCCCCTCATCCAGGGACCTGCTGACGGCCCGTCTGGCAGACCAGTCCCACCAATGTGCCAATCAGGCGTCAGCAGCGACCAACAACCTGTCCAAGCCCATCCACGAGGAGGGCCCCGCCCCAGGTCTCCCCTGAGGTATAAAAGCGACTCAGACTGTGTCATCTGTTCCCTCTTTTCTTCGTGTTTGAACTTGTTTTTATGTGAATGTTTACATTTATATCAGACTCCAAAACAACACCCAGATTTCTTGCTTGATGTGTGGCTTCTGTGAAATTGATGGTAAATGAGCGCTGACTCATGATCCCTCCTGTTTGGGACCGAATACAGTTATTTTGTTTGAAAAAGGAGAAGGCCAAGAATAGACCCTTGGGGGACCCCACATGTAATCATTTCATGTTCAGAAACATTTTTACAACCTGAAATAAAGTATTTTCTACATTGAAAGTAAAGAATACAGCCGTGCAAGTGGAATGACACCACAGTGTTCTGTATTTATGACTTTATAAAATCATAGCAGCTTATATGAGTATTCATAGAGGCCAGTCTGACTTTGGGGCCTTGTAATACCCAGTTATGCCGTTCTTTCAAGCCAAACAGAGTCATAGCAGGTGGCGGTCAACATGAGTCTGGTTCTGATCCAGGCTTCTGCCTGTTCAACATGAGTCTGGTTCTGATCCAGGCTTCTGCCTGTTCAACATGAGTCTGGTTCTGATCCAGGCTTCTGCCTGTTCAACATGAGTCTGGTTCTGATCCAGGCTTCTCTTTGTAAAAAGCAATTTTTTTATCTTCCCATTGTTACTTTGCTAAATGTTTGTCTGCTGATGGATGAATTTTGTGTTTCTGTAAATATAATAAAGAGTAAAGTGCAGAGCGGCTGTTTTTGTAGAAACATTTATTATGAATTGGTGCTGAACAAATAAAGATTGATTGACTGAATGATTGATTACCTCCAAATGATAACGAGACATTTGACAGAACCCTGAAAATGTAAAGCAGATTTAGAAACATGTATTTCTTATCCTCCCAACATGTGGTGTGATGTTTCCTCATAAACAAAGCGCTCATGGACTTACAGAAAGAACAACGCAGGAGACCCGGTAAGCCTGAATGTTACAGTCCTTTAATCCAAGGAGGTTTGACAAATACATTTTATTATGAATTATAGAATATCATTTGCATACACATACCAATACAGTCACAACCTGAGTGATAGAATATTCATAGCACCTCCTTAAGTTATCTAAGTGTAGATATTTGGAGGTAATCAGCATTTTCTTAAGCTTTAAACAAACTAAAATCAGCTAAATCAAATGTAGCCAAACAGACCTTTTCACTCACTAATTCAAACCAAAATCCTTCACAGCAGCACACATCCTTTTCCTCTGCGCTACTTTTGCATCCTTCACTGCACCACGGTTATCTTTCCTCATGGTGAAGACCACAGCAGAGTAAACTTTAGTCTCCTCATCAATCTGGGCAAAGATAGACATGAGCTGTTAAATGGACAAAAACATAAGGACAACATGAACATCTTTAAATGATTTACCTGTTGATTTTTCACCCTCTCGCTGTTTAATTGCAGGACGACAGCAGCTGGATAATGAAACAGAAAATACATGCAGAGTTAAAATGAAAGATGAAGAAGGTTTGATGATTTTTTGCTGCTTAGAGAACGAGTTCGTCTCATTACTTGAGCCAACAACCACAGCTGTTAGGAAGATTATAACCCGGCAGAAAAGTGTCTTCCTCCTTCTGAGAACACGTTGTTACATGAAATTGTATAATGCTTTTAGAACGGGTCATCGTCACTAACCTTTAGATTGTTCACTTTCTTCTCTCGGAGTTTGGAAGCAAATGAGAGAAACATTTCCAATCAGAGAAATCACCAAGCAGAGTATCGCTATGACCAGCCCGATCAATTCAAAACTTGCTGTTCGTTCTAGACAAGAATGAAAATAAAAAAGAATGATTTAATTATTAATATAATGTGATTACAGTTCAGGTTCACGTGCGTTTATTTGTACCCTTAAGTAGGTTTGTTTGCAGCCAGCAAGATAACACACAGATTACAGAACAGATGTAACAATGAACAACACATTAGAGAAAGGGGAACTATATATAAACCAACTAAAACATCATAAAAACCCCAAATAATTATAAAAGTGCTCAATGATCTCACAATAAGAAGCATAAGGGAGAGAGATATCTCAACCAATAATATCAAAAACAAAAATGATCTCTTCAGGCAGGGTAAAAATAAGTTTTTGACGTGAAAAAAAAATGTTTTTGCAAATATGGCTACAGCTTGTTCACTTCTGTGATAGCAGCAGGAACAAAGCTGTTTTTGTACCGCTGTGTTCTGCACGTTGGGACTAAAATCCTCCGTCCGGGGAGAAGCTGAAAATCACTGAGCAAAGGACGAGAATCATCGTTTATAATCGAGGTAGCTATCCTCTGCAACTGTCTCAGAGACGCCAGGTAGAGCTGAGACTCACCAATCAGACTCACCCCACATACCTCAGAACGGAGGTACAGAGCACTGAGGTGCAGGTTTGACTGAAACCATGACACCAAAGAACAAGACAAGACTGATCCAATAACAGCATGATAAAACATCATCATTATGGTTCATGAAAGTACGACAGTTTCCTACAGACACAAACACTGTTTAGACTTTTTACAAAGCGTTAGCTTCAAAGTTAAAATTCAAATCAATGATGGTCCCAATGTTTTTATAAGATTGCACTTACTCAATATTCTGACCTTTGAATAGTGGCATCGTTCACTTGAGTTTTCTTTCTAAAATCAATAATCATATGTTGAGTTTGAGATATGTTCAGCTGGAGGTAAGACTCCTCACACCTGGTACAAACTGGTCATTTACCGGGCCGTGGCTCGTCTCATTCTCTTGAAGCAGACATACAACAACGGAGTCATCGGCATATTTTATAAAGGATGTGTTTTATGATAAATATATGTGTTAAGATCACACCAATCTGCAATGAGACCATCATTTCACACTTTAATCTGCAGATTCTTAGCATAAAAAACGTTTGACCTTCAACATCTACTTTTGTCACATCTCCAAATATGTGCAGTTACAGAAACAGAGCTATTACGGCCGTCTGATTGTCGGCTCCTGAAAACATATAAAAACATATTGTGTTAAGATGTTTCACTAAAATCTTCCAGGTAGATTCAACTGTTTGAAAATGAATGTTAAAAATGATTCATATTGAATGCTCTGCAGTTACCTTTGATGTCAATCTTTGTCCCTTTTCCAAACAATATCTCTCCACATGCGGCCACAGCACAGAAATAAGTCGAGGCGTCGGAGGAGTTGACGGTCTTTGAGAAGCTGTAGACACATTTCTGTGGAGAGTGAGTCTCTGGACTCTCCTCACATCCTCCAGGTCTGTTTCCATGAGTGTAAATGACACTGGGATGATTTTCATCTGATCCGGCTCTGAACCAGAACACTCTGTGTTTCCCTGGACATGTGTTGTTTTCAGACTCAGAGAGAACAGAACACTGCAGAGTCATCAGGTCTCCTGGGTGGACTTGATCCTGTGAAATGTCTTGAACGACTGAGGTGATACTGGGCTCTGGTCCTGAATAAATTCAACACAAAGTAAATATGCTGGATTTGTTAAAAAATATTCAAAGTAGCTGCAGTTTAGAATTAAGAGAAAAACATCCTAGAAAGTATGCTCTATGTTTTTTCCTTATTCAGGGGACATTTGGTTGACTGCTGTCATAAATGGTGTTAGGTATTGTTTTAAAGAAGTTGAAGTGCATTTTATTTACCTTTAATCTGCAGAAATGTTCCTTTTAAAACTGTCATTTTAATACTCTCTCGTTGCACACAAATGTAAAGTCCAGTGTCCCCGAGTTTTACTCTATTAATAATCACCACAAATGTTCCAGGCTCTTTTCTTGCTGTGAATCGAGGCTTTTCTTCAACATTAACAAGGTCAGAATCAATGGCATTGGTTCCTCCCAAAACCTCAGGCAAATCTCCAGAAACGAGCCGGAACCAGAATAATTGTGTTGAAGATAAAGAAGTGTCACGAGGACACGTCAGAGTCACATCATCTCCAACACCAACAGTCTTTGTCTCAAAGTTCTCATAGATGGTGCATCCTGAAGAAAATAAATATATGTCAGTGTTTAACAACAGAGAAAGATCATGTATGCTCTGTGCTAAAAATAAAACATATTAACCCTTAAAAGATCAGAATTAGACGAGAAGATTGGACATAAACTTGCGAGCAAGTGTGAGCGTCAGTAGAAAAACAAGAACAGACTTCATTTTCTCCTTCGTCCACTTAATACAGCAGTAGAATGAACTCGTATGAGAAGCTGCTTCTCCTTCATGGAACCATATAAAGTAGGAGGGAACAATCACAGGGCAATCTGATTGGCCCTTCATTATGAGGGTATTACTTTACAACCACAGTGGAATTTTTTTTTGACCGTCTTTCAAGCTAAAGCACATGAAACAATAGAAGCAGCAAGCTTCTGTTTCAAGTTTTCATGGTGGGTTTCTGTACCTGCTGCTGAGCAGAAACACAATAACTACAGTTTTCTTCAGTATTTTTTCAAACTCAACCAATGGTTCGTGAAAGCATCAACTTTCCCATTTTGGCAAATACGATGATGGATCTTTCGAACCAGAAGTGACCATATTTGGATCTGGATGTGGATACACATTAGTCCCTTACATGCAGCAGTACCCCCCTCTCTGTGTGTGGTTTAACATCCTTTTTGGAGTGTTCTGTGAGTGTGTGGAGACATATGTCTAGCGAGTGGTCCCTCCCCTAAGGTATATAAGTGGCTGAGACTGAGTGATCTGTTTCGTATTTTTCTTAGCGCTTAAGTGTGCACTGATGAGTCAAACACTCCCCACTGCTGGTGACCAGTCTACTGGGAGCTGCCGGATATTATCTGGTCTGGTCTTGCAGTGCCATTGGCGTGGGAGTCCGCCCCCCTGGATTAGATGGCCTGCGAGTTTCGCAGTCAGGGAGGATCCTGTTGTTCCCTGCCCTCATTCCACACCAGGGCGGAGAAGCAGCAGACCCCAAATCTTTGAGGACTCCAGTCCACTTGTGCCTCAAGTTCAAAGGTTCAAAGACCAGGGTGTTTTTAGGCCTTTTTAGGAGTGAGAGTCACCACCATGGTGGCGGGGCAACGTTCTGCTCCCCCCTCATCCAGGGACCTGCTGACAGCCTGACAGTATTACGACGTCATGTACAAGAGGTATTCGTGCTTAGGCATGGTTAGTCTTGTGTAGTGTGACCGCGGGCCTCACCGGACAGCAGGGGAATGGCGCTGCGGGGGGGCAATCGTGCTTGGGTACAGCACGGTATGGATGGCGAGTGTGACCGCGCCCTTAGAGACCGTAGGTACCACGAGCAGGTCTGATAACTGAAGGCTCTACCTCCCATAGTACATTTAGAGACTGTAGGTACCACGAGCAGGCCTGATAACTGAAGGCTCTACCTCCCGTAGTACATTTAGAGACTGTAGGTACCACGAGCAGACCTGATAACTGAAGGCTCTACCTCCCGTAGTACTGCGGTTTTAGGTCCCATTTTATTCTCCATTTATATGCTGCCTCTTGGCCAAATAATTGAACGCCACAATGTCTCCTTTCACTGCTACGCAGACGACACACAGATATACCTTCCTTTGAGACCTGAGGACCCTAGGAGCCTAGCTGCTGTCAGAAACTGCCTAAGCGATATCAACTGCTGGATGGCGCAAAACTTTCTCCAACTGAACAATTCTAAATCTGAAATCATAGTATTCAACCCGCCAAACACCACTCATATCTCAAAGAGCAGCCTCGGTCCCTTATTCACCAATGTCCAACCCACCGCCAGAAATCTAGGAGTAACATTCGACTGCAATCTCACCTTTGAATCCCATATCAAAACAGTTGTCCGATCAAGCTTCTTCCATCTACGCACCATCTCCAAAATTAAAACAATCCTAACCCAACAAGACCTTGAAAAGATCATCCACGCCTTCATCTTCTCCCGACTTGACTACTGTAACTCCCTCTTTTCCGGAATCACAAATAAGTCACTGTCTCGCCTCCAGCTGGTCCAAAATGCAGCAGCTAGGCTTCTTACTGGTTGTAACAGACGACATCACATCACTCCAATTTTAGCTTCATTACACTGGCTTCCTGTACGTTCTAGAATCGATTTTAAGATTTTACTCATTACTTTTAAAGCACGGACGGGGCTGGCTCCAAGCTATATAACAGAGTTACTGACACCATATGAGCCAGCCCGCAGTCTTAGATCCTCGGGTGGGAGCCTCCTGGTCGTTCCAAAGTCGAGACTTAAAACTAAAGGTGACCGGGCCTTTTCAGTCAGGGCCCCTCGACTTTGGAACGACCTCCCTGAGGAGATAAGACTCGCAGACTCCCTCAATTCTTTTAAATCCCTTCTTAAAACATACTTTTACAGACTTGCTTTTATGTGATGTCGTCTTCTTAATGTCCTCTCTTACTGGTTTTATTATTTTTATCTTCTTCTACTTCTTACTGTCTTTTATTTATGCTCTTATCTCGTATTTATGCTCATATCTTAATCTCCTCTTGTGTTTTAACTTGGTAATTTCTTATCTTACTTACTTTGTCTATTTATGTTTCGTATTTATAGTTAATTTTTATTTTTATTAATATTATAGTTTTGGGTTTTTTGATCCTTTAACCACTTGTTTTTATTTCCTTTACTGCGCTTACCTTCTCATTGCTTTTTATTTGCTTTTATCTCTTAGTTTCTTACATCTTTTTAAATCTTTGGTCCTCTTGGTCTCAGCTCATGTTGTTGGGTTCTTGTGTTCCTGGGTTCTTATGATGGTTCTTATGATGGTTGGGTTATATATGTCTGGTTGTGTATCGTGCACTTTGGGTTCTTTTCTGTTGAATTGTTTTTAATTATTTTTGGTATTTTGCATCTGTTATATTCTTACTGTTGTTAATGTTTTTCTATGTTTAGTTTGCTTTGTTCTTGCTGTTTGTCAAAGCACTTTGTAAACCTGTGTTTTTAAAAGGTGCTATATAAATAAAGTTATTATTATTATTATTATTATTTAGAGTCCGTACTTAGACCTGC